GGACATAAAAGGGAGAAGCACTGACTGCAGCTGTCACATTACAGATCGAGAGATCGCGTCAAGATCAAGGCGGCTAGTAGGACGGTTTTGTTGCATTCGAGGCCAGCTGATTCAAGGCTGCTAAACAAATTACAAACGGAATAAATCTATTGGTCGAAACTGAAGGCACGTTTCTGATTTCATAAATATTTAAAAGACATTGTTATAGAAAAGGTCACAGGAACTAATTGTCTTGCGGCCATTATTTATCAGAAACTTGAGGAGCTCAGGCAAGTTTGAGCACTGAAACGGATTGAACGAAGGTTACTGGAGGATAAATAGACAATCAGAGCAGAATGTCTGTGTCTTTAAGAAATGTTTTAATCAGCGACGCTGTAGATTCCGCTTGCTTGGAATTGCTGCAGAACCATGGAATCAACGTCACCTGCAAGTACAAGCTGCCCAAAGACCAGCTGCTTCAGGAGATTAAGGTGAGTCCAGTACACATGGGCTACATCTTAGCTCTTAGCGAACTTGTTGTCCCTGTGCTTAACACGAAACCATGAAAACGAATGGGGAAATGTCGACGTGATAACTAAACGGTGAGTGGTCACCTGTACGTTCAGACGGCTTTCCCTTCAGTAGCTGTTTGACAAAATAGAGAGTGGTGTCGTGAGCCAATCTTAGATATCATGGCGAAAAGAAAAATTCTGCCCTTGTTCGAAATAGAACCCCGGTATGGTCTTTAGCTGATCGTTTTACTTACCGACCTAGTTCGACATCGCGCTTGAAGTGATTCCGAAAGCGAACTGACTGACTGCTGCTGACATAAATGGGCTTTTTATCATCTAAGTTTTATTTGAAACTAAACTGTAGAAAAATTTATATTGAACGTGGCAATCGAGTGACAAGTGCTACTGATTCATATTCGGGAGGTCCCAGTTTCGAAATTCGGCCCCTTGACATTTATTTTGACTAATGTTTTTGTGGACTTTTTATAATCGCTCCAGGCAAATGTTTGGACAGTACTGATAATTTAAAATGAATCACGATAAGTACCATAATATTTCCCCAATTTGTATAATTCAAAGTTACTCTATGATTTGAAGCTACATAGATATTGCAATTCGAAAGCGAAGCAAAATACTGTCTTCATAGAATAGAAAACGTAGGGCGTGGTTTTTACATTTCTCCAGGTGAATATTTCCGTCCACACCCCTCTCACATCTGCTCATTTGACATACGGAATTGAAATGCGTCATCAAAAATCAAAGGACATGAACACAACCAGAATAATTTTACAAACCACGCAAAGGGAAACACAAAATTGACTATCAGGTGCTTATTTGGACAACTGACAATAAACTTAAATGCCTTAGATTTCTGTGTCAGGTTGCATTCTACCTCTGGGGTCCTTAGTTTCATCGGTAATCTTACACCTGGCTGTAATAGACTTAAATTTCAATAACACTATCCCGTCTACTGACATTTTAGCAGAACTGTCGTAATGAATATAAAACATAATCAAACAAATATTGTTCCAGCAGCATAGTGGCTCCGTCCTATGCACCTGACTCACTGAGATTATGAAATTTTCGTTTAATTTTATTGTATCTGTATGCACACGTCGAGTTTGTATGGAAATGATTTTAGGGAGCTGAAGCTGTAGTTGATGACTAGTCTGATGGGTGTTGGAATAATAACGTTTTTAAAATGCAAACTGTAAGGAAGAGTATGAATATTATGTGTATGCCTTATATTTATCAGACGAATTCATGTGAACTTATTCACCTTTCGTAGGTATTCTGGAAATTTAAGGAACATATTCTGATCTCGAACGTATGAAAAGCACAATAACATTCCTTTGGATGTAACGTATGAATACAGTAAAACAAGCCAATGCAGGATTTGTTGAACCCCAGGTATTTTAGAACTAATATTTGAATATTAAAACATTATTTGAGCTTCATGTAAAATGGTAGGTATTGAACCGACGATGTACATACAAAAACAGATTCGTCACACATTCGTTTAGTATAAATTCCTAGTACCACGTTTAATCGAAATCATTTTGGTAGTTTCAGCGATTAAATATGCGAACGCACGGACAGACGACCTCCACATTATGCTTTCATTTTATGCATCTTGTGCAAACCACGCCTAAAACATCTTGAAATATGTCTTAAAACTCGAATGTTACTGTAATAACAGATGCGATAATAATAAAATTAAATCTCTGTAACTTCTTCACTTCAGTTTACAACACGAAACGACACTAATTGTGCGAACAAAGCTTTTCTGGTGAAAGTACAGTATTTTAACTGTTCCTCTCTTCCGCAAGTAGCCTACTGAGAGAAGCGGTCACTAGACACACTAGTACGTGACCCAGTTTGTATATCACAGTGACGCTTACTGTTATAAGGATATTAAATCCTGGCATTCCATCTAGTCAAGTCGTTTGGTTCAGTTCTCTGTGATTACCAATGCAGTTTCAACTCACATTTTCTCCTGCAGCACTAATGATTTACCATTAGATGTGTAAAGGGAAAATGAATGTTGAAGGAATATACAAGTTACAATTAGAAGCTTTCAGTTGTTTGGAATATAATCATGGAGAAACCTCAGGCCTGCGATAAAGAAACTGACGCAGATGTTTACAGTTTCATATTAACAACTTTTCCCAGCGTTAATTGTTTTGTTTACGCACGGCACCTCTAAATCAAGCACTGGGCCAGTCGTGAGAGGTTTCGAGGTAAACTGGTTCCGAGTCGAGCTTCCTGTAATGCGAACGGCATGTAGACAAACGCGGGTTTGGTTGGTAACCTGAACAAAGCGAACATCATACACAATAGTGAGCAGCTGCCAGCTCTCGACTCTTGTTTTATGGACTTTCAGTTAACAAATTTTCGTTCTATTTAACACATTCAAGAAATTAATACCCATATTTTTCATACTATCTATAATGAAATTTTTTTGCAACGAAAACATTTTATACTATCCGTTTGTTCTTCCCAACCTTGAAAATCTTTCCTTCTGTGTATTCAGCATTCTTTCTATTTTATTTCTTCATATTCTACTTTTACTTTACAGTCTGATTCTTTAGCTGCCACAGATCAGGCTCAATGGCCTGTTCAGAATCATAATTAATTTTAAACTTATTACACGTTTCGATATTTGATACAGGACATCTTGGACATTGGAATGGGCCACAAGGAGACAGGACAATTCGCGATATCAACATCAGAGCGGTCTCTGATCGGCTTCCCTTTTTCGTGCAGATTTTAATTCTTATTGCCAGTTTCAAAATAAGTACTATTCACTGTAATAAGTATATGCAGGCCTGTCTTTATGAAAAGGATAGCTTAGGAGACCTAGACGTAAGTGGGCGTATAATATTAAAATGGACCTTAAATAAGATTTGAAAATGGGAATCGTATTCATATGACTAATGATAGGGTCCAATGGCGGCATCTTATGAACACGATAATGAAGCATCTGGTTCCAAAACAGCAGAGAATTTATTAACTAACCTACTATCACTTTACAAAATGTTCTCTGTTGTATGGGTCTTTAGTTCATTATTCATCTTTGTTTTGTTTCTACTCATTTATCTCCCTGGGTTGTACATTATCTCAACATTTTATTCACTGTGAACAAACATAATTTTAGAAGAAACAGGTGTAACAGACCCCAATCGAAGCAAGTGTGACGAGATTTATTTCTGTGAACACAGAACGTAGGCCCTAATTCGAGCGAAGTTACGGAGGTCAGGTACATAAACGGTGTACTTCTTAAGTAGGCTGTTCACCCACACTGGCCTCCCACCAGTACTGCATTCTGCATGTTGGCATCTGTACCTGTCTGAGAAATAAAAAGACTGAAAGGACACACTATTTGCGCTGGCCACTTGAAAACCGGTTTAAACTAGATTTACAGCACATGCACCGACTGACTGGTATAACCTTTTGTCTCGTTAATCGTGGAGTCTACACTTTTGACATCGAGTGTTACAATTGAACCCATTATCTACCATTAAGAATGGTCCGTTACGTAATGCAGCGCTACTTTAACCAGTGCGAGTCTCCGTTGGAATTGGACTTTACATCCCTTTCAGATATCTGTCTACAAAGAAATTAACTGCACAATTACAACTATCAGGGTAGTCCTAATATCCTAGAACAATCAGTACCACGCTCCAACAGATCATGTTACTATGTTTATTTGTAGGTTTTACAAATATTCGATTTGTCATATATTCTTAGAATGCCCATACTTAATGTCGGAAATATTTTAAAATATGCCACATCAATTTAGTTTATTTGTAAAGTACCTCAACATGTGCATTGTTGAAGAAAACATCTCGTAAGACAATGCTGTTGCAAGACAAGAATGAGAAATAAAAGAATACATGATTAAATATTAAACAGAAGGAAAGAACTCACAATATAGATAACATATCATAAAAAAATAGATAGGGCATCACCTTGCTTTAATTAAGAACCTGTAAGCCCTCTTCTTGATAATTAAAGAAACAATGTGAATGGATTCAACCGGCTCAGGATGGTGGCTCTTGTGAACACGGCGGGTTCGTTAAAAGGTTGCAAATTCCTCAGACTACAAACGTTTAAAGACACTCTTACCTACGGAGTAGGCCTAAGTTAAAGACTGGACTGGTTGGTTAGTAACATATACAAAATTATTTTCTGGTTCGGATTAAATACATTTCCCCTTAAATCTCTTTTGTGGTTACTTCTCTTCAGGTTCAGATAAAATTGTTATGCATTTATCATTTCCCTTGCATATTACGTGACTCGCATATCTTTTCAGCCCTGCAATTGTATAAATTGTGCTCAAATTGTGTCGATTTAATTTCCGGGTGATTACATATGCGAGGTCAGACAATGAAATAAGCAGTCGCGTTTTCTGTAGCAACAGGCATCTCTGGTGTGTTGCAAGTGTTGGGTCACGTGGTGTCATAATTAAACAGTTTGGTGGTAAACAATTCAAGGAATTTAATTTTTGTGATTGCATAACTACTATTCTTCGCAGCGTTTTATTTGTTTGGTACGTAGGTACAAATATTTGCGATGAAATGTTTGAACAGAGGTTCAACCTTTAACGCAACAAAGTCGAGACTGAGTAGTCAACAACCTTACTTTGTATCTGGGAGGTCCCAGGTTCAAATCTCGGTCGGGAGACCTACAATGCTGACTGAGATTTTTTTGTGGATTTCCTCAGTCCTTTGAGGAAAATGCTGGGATAGTACCATGAATTAGGTGACGACCGCTTAATTTCATATTCTTACCAATTTATCTGAAGCTACACAGTCTGAGCTACTGACATCGTTAAATGAACCACAAATAAAAATACGAACAAAATGTTTAGTGACATTTGGGAAAAATGTCACTCACATTTATTAACACATTTTAGGGCGGAAAAACGCACTACAGGCGATGGAAGATGAAACCAGCTGACACCCAAGGGCTGGTCCATATGTGGAAAAAATAACTGACATGGAACAGCCTAAATAATCGCTGATTGCTGATTTGAAATACAGCAGCAAAACTGAACATGAACGCAGAGTGTGTGACATTCAGACCAGAAGTCTGAATGTGAAGAGACTACAATGAATGAGAACAGTTGAAGAAATTTGCTCAGAACTTTCAGGCAGATTGTTGGAAGAATGCTACCCTTTGGGGGGGGTGGGGGTGGGGGTGGAGAAATGTGTTAACAATGGGCCTACTGAAAGGAATTTCATTAAGCAGTTTCCAGCAATTAATCCTGACATGGCAGGGATGCTGAAATGCATGTGTAAAAAGTCAAAAGGCAAATTCTGAAGGTGACTACAGTCTTGGAGTTTAGTGTTAATACATAGGCCTATATTTTTGGACAGAATCAGCCTGGTTCATTGACTGCCAGACTAGTAGTTGTACTAGTATTAATTTACGCGTAAAATGACAGAAAAACAACCAACTTGACTGGGTGTGATGTGTTTTTTTACAGAACTATGATGGACTGATTGTGCGTTCAGATACAAAGGTGACAGCTGATGTGTTTGCAGCTGCTACAAGTCTCCGAGTGGTTGGTCGGGCAGGTACGGGTGTTGACAACATTGACACAGAAGCAGCCACAAGAAAGGGCGTAATAGTGCTCAAGTGGGTATCAGTGCTTTTTCATATTATCTTATGCTGTGTTCAAATCTTATAAAGCTTGCCTATGATTGTGTGCGATGTAGGAATGCAATTAATGTCACCTTCCTTCTTCCAGCACTCCTGGAGGGAACTCAATAAGTGCATGTGAGCTGACATGTGCACTCATATCAAGCTTGGCAAGGTCAGTATAAGCAGCCACAATTCTTCTGTCTTTAATGCTATACAGTAATTTATATAGTTCATACAGAAAACAGTCTTTAGGAACATTTCTATGTAAGCTATAAGAATCAGAAAAAGTTTAAGGTAATGGTTCAGACAAATACATCACAGATTATGGAAGTTTTCTAACTACTGGTAGCAGAGGCATGATGGATTGCGAAATAAACAATTCAGATGGACTGTCAATGGAAGACTATTATTATATTTTGATAGTGACTATTGTTTTCAATAAACTCTCAGAGAAACATGATGACAGTATATGTCTTCTTGTTACACAGGAATGTAGCACAAGCCTGCCAGTCACTCAAGGAAGGTCGCTGGGATAGGAAGATCTACACTGGATCAGAACTATCGGGGAAAACCTTGGCAGTGTTAGGTCTTGGCAGGATTGGACGGGAAGTCGCTACAAGAATGCAGGCATATGGCATGAAAGTGAGTAACTCTCTTAAAAGGAAAAATGTTGCACAATATTTAGAACTTGCGTATCATGTGTTCGTAACCCAGAGGCCTAGGTTTAAAAGAGCACAGTTGTTTACTTTAGACACTGGGAATGGTGTATTGCATCTAAAAATTGACACTAATTTCCCCCCACACTTCAGCCGACTGAGAGACAACAGAGATGACTGGGCTTAGTGCAAATTTTAGAAAATTTCAATGTTCTGAAATATAAATGAAGCTTAAGGTTAGAGAAAATTGAAAATCACCATTGATTTCCAGTGTACCAAGGAGCAGTTACATACCAGTGATTAATCTCATGTTAATTAATGGTGAAGATCGAAATAACGGAATATAACAAGACTTATTTGGTCAATAATAGTACAGGGAGGAGAAGAACCTTGTAATAAAATTAAATTACTATTGTCCTTGATCCAGTATTGCCAAAGTGTGCACACTAACAAATTGACAAATCAGTATTGGTTTAGTGATTCCTGCCTGATGGCAGCTTTTCAAGCCATTAGTATAATACAATTATCATTTTCTTTCTAGACAATTGGTTTTGATCCACTGGTTTCTGCTGAGTCCGCTAAGCAGTTTAATGTGGAAAAGATGGAACTGGAGGAGATATGGCCTCTTGCAGATTATATCACTGTACACACTCCACTCATACCACAAACAAGAAGTGAGTATAAATACCTAAGTGAAATAGCAGCATGAGATTTGAACCTGATACCTTATGAATAGGAAACAGTTGTGCTAACAACTTGGTCTATAAATTTGAAGAAAATTAAGTAAAAAGGGGATGGAGAATATTACATAATGAGGAGCTTCATAATTTGTACATTCACCAAATGTTATAAGGGTAAGGGTGATAAAAATGAAGTAGGATAGAAATCAGAAATACAAAAAAAATTATGGTCAGAAAACCTGAATAGAAGAGACCTAAGTGTAGATGTTCTTATAATGTTAAAGTTGTTCATTCTTTTATGAAATATTCTATTACATGTACTGCATCAGGGATTTGTTATTATGTTTCAGATTTAATAAATGAGACGGCACTAAATAAATGTAAGCATGGAGTGCGAATAATTAACGTTGCAAGGGGAGGCATCATAGATGAGGCAGCACTGCTTGATGCACTAAAGGTCTGCACTCCTAGTTATTGCTAAAATTATTACTTTCACACACTTTATAATAAAAAGAGACTTAAGATAATAAAATGAATCAAGAGAAATAATTTACTTTCTAATGAAAATCAACATACATGTACAGGTGGGTGGGAAGTAAGTAGGCATTGAGAAATGGTTATAACCTCTATATTTCCAATGCATAGTGATTATTTAATGCCTACTTACTTCCCACCCACCCTGTATATAAACATATTGTCAACAGAACATTCTGCATTAAACATTGTGCTTGAGTGGTTAGCACTCCTGCTTTGTGCTTGGGTGATCCTAGTTTAAATTCTAAGCTGTGAGACCAGCTGTTCAAAGGCTTTATTGATTACACTCACTTCCTCTAGGCAAATACTTGGACAGTATGTTAAAATGGGGTATGACCACTTCCTTAAACAGCCGTATTTCATTATCCAAAATCACCATCCAATTATATGGCATATAATCTTTGCGAAATATCATAGAAACTGAAAAGAACCATAAATACATGTTAATGAACTTCATTTGGTCAAGTGTGTGGATACATTTATATTCACACTTGTTACAAATTTTCTCTTTCATTTCTTTCCTGTAAAGAGAAAAGTGTACTTCAGTTCGGTATACCACATATCTTGCAGAAGTTTTGAGTTACATTTGAACTTCATATCAAGTATAGGTAACAGTGGATCATCAGACACAAAAATTAAATTATCTAACAACTTTAACACAGACTCCCCTCAATACCAAATTTAACCAAAACTGGTGGATAATGTTGAACCCTGTTGTGTGATAATTTCATGACATAAAACCTTACTCCTGAAGGTACAGCAGATATCCAAGGGTGGAATAAATCTTAAAATTACCTTTTCAGTTAAAATTAATTTTCACAAATGTGTTTCAGGATGGCAAGTGTGGTGGAGCTGCACTCGATGTGTTTTGTGAGGAACCGCCAAAGTCTGCCATTACTCTGGAACTTATCCAGCATCCGGCTGTTATAGTAACACCTCACTTAGGTGCCAGCACAAATGAAGCTCAGCAAAGAGTAGCAGTGGAGATTGCTGAACAGTTTATAGCAATAGCAGCCAACTGCTCCGCTGCTGAGAGAGCTTGTTACACAGTCACAGGAGTGGTCAATGCCCCTATACTGGCTGCTGCAATGGTCCAAACCAACACACCCTGGATTTCACTTTCAAAGGAAATGGGCAAACTAATTGCTAAAATTATACAAGGAGCAAAGCTTGGGACATACGTGTCCATCAAAACTAATGGTAAGCACATCAACTGACTGATTCTTGGTTTATTCAATGAGACATTCAAACAGCCTCAGGACAATTCATGAATACACTGAAAGGATGTGGAAGGAAGCAATTGTGGTCTATTTATAGGAAACATCTCAGTATTCTCCTATAGAGCATGAGGAAAACCGTAACATCAATCAGAATAGTCTCTGGGCAGAGATTTGAATCTAATATCTCCTAAATTTTAAACAGGACTGTTAACCATTCAACCATGATGTTAAACAAATAAACACACTTGTTAAATTATACAACTGTTCTGTATCAATGGCTTAAGTTTATTATCTTTCATCCCATCTCTTGCATTCTGCTAGTACAAAAAGGATGTATAAATATTTATAGCAAATACTAATAAAATAATCATAAATAAGTAAAGACTGACAGCATGTTAGATCAGGTACTCATAATACCAAACTTTCAGTGTAGTCAACTAAGAACTTATATTAATTACTTTTTAGGTTATGGTATGGAGAACAGAAAGTTCTTAGGCACTGCAGTGCTGGTTGGGATGCTGACAGGGCATACTAAGAATGGCCTTAACCTTATCAATGCCCCAGCACTTGCTAAGGATGCTGGCATAGAAGTTTCTCAGTCCTATGAAGGCAACAATGAAGTACCAACACTAACTGTGACAGTATCCGAGGGCAAGAATTTTTCACATTCAGTGCAAGGTATGTTGTAATGTAAATTGCTGTTATTCTGTTAGTCATGTCGTCTACTACACTTTTAAAAGATATAATCTTTGTATTGTGTGAAGCATTGCCACTATAGGTTAGCAAGTTCTTTTCTAGACTGATTCATACTTCCCTCTCATTTTCTTACACAGATTCCATTCTGGTTACTATTAATCATATACTTAAAACTTACAGGAACTGTCCGAGCAGATGAGCTACCATACTTGTTAACTATTGATGATGCAAACTTTGGACCAACTGGTGTGCTTCTGAGCAACAACATTCATATATTCCAATGCCAGAATTGCACAACAAATCTGACAGCCATAATCACACAACTCACATCCAAAGGTGCCAACATTATAAATGTTGCAATAGCAACTGGAAAGAATGTTTGGATTGCTGTCAGGACTGCTAATGAATTTACTGACAACATTTCTATTCCTGGAATAATTTCATTTTAATTACCAACAAAAATTTGGGAAATTAAACTTGTAACATACAACAGAAACTACATAGCTTCATGCAAATTCAATATTATTACCACTTTAAAAGTCTTAAGACTTAAAAGAACAATATGTTAACAGGTGTAAGTTAACATTTTGACTGGCAAATTTACCTTTCAAGTCTCTTATAAGAGTGTGAAAAGCCACAGTAACTTTAAATGTATATTCACATTTGTAATTTTACATCAACTCAATGCACCACATAATTTTAACTCCAGAATAAGAATTTGTCGACTATCTCGTAAAAAAAACAAAGATGGCAAATATAAGCTATGACTTACAAGTTTGTTGCAAGACTTATGATAAAAAATGTCTGTAAAGTGGCTCTGAGAACACTTCCTAATCCAGACTCAATTACACAGTATTGCTGAAATGATACTGGTATATTGTGTAGGTTCAGCACCTAAAAGACTAATGGAATAAACTGTGAAGTATATATTCTTAAAAGCAGCAAACCAAAATCTTGGCCTGCTATAAAATAATACAATAAGTATTTTTATGTAATGTGCTGTCCTATTTATAATCATCCTAGTATAACATACTTCTATCTAATTAAGGAGTACTAGTATGTAACTTTTGTATGACGATGTATATTTTGCTGTAGTCTTCTATATAATAAAATATGTTGCAAAAATTTGTATCAGTACTTTCTAACTGAAGCGGAGGTTACTAAACTGGATGATCATTTCAGAACTGAAGTATTACTTACCAACACTATTTATTATAGAATTCAGTTGCCTTCTCCCTGGTGATAAAATCTGAACTGATGTGGCCCTTGGATAAAGAATTCCTTAATCAGCTGAACTTGTTCAGCTTCTCAAGGACTATGTTCCATGGATTCCATTAAATAGTGAGGATCAGTACACAGACAGGTTAAGCAAGCATGGATAGAACATAATCAAAATTAAAGATACACAAACTTATGAAAGAATTCATATATTACCCAAATGAAGAATGGTGAGAACCGTATGTTGTAGAGATTTAACATATACATATTGAAAATTTAATATCACATATTTATGCAGTCTATAACAGATTAATAGTTAGTATTCGATTAAGAAGTATTTTGTACAGCATTCAGTTGTTACATTCTCACAAAGTCAATATCAAGTTAGGATTAATATCAAAATATAATCTCTGTTCTCATGAATATCAAATGAGATGCCAGCAAATTTTCAAAGGACAGTAAACCTCAAGCAAATACCATACACAATTTTTATAATCATGAATGCATTAAGGCACTATTCAATTAGAGGAAAACTGAGAACCAGATTTCTCTGTAGTTGACAAAAAGGAGCTGAAGAAAATACTTCTTCTAAAATGTTGTCTCTAAAGTTATTTTTAAACAGAGTAATAATCAATTATATGCAATTTTTCATTTTCTTCTTCCACCACTCCATTCTGTCTTTCAGTGAGTTTTGACATCAATTTCTATTTTTTTTTTAGAGATCCTTCTTCAGGGGAAAGAAATTTATCACCAATTTATCATATGGCTCCTGCTGCAGTAAAAGTTAAATATCAGTAAAGGAATTTAGCCAATAACTGTCAGCACATTTTAACCATCAAGCTTCTTCTTATTTTACAGTTAGTGTAATGGTACACACAAAATTGAACTGCACACGATATATTCAGTACACTGGAAGATAAAAATACAAAACATGTAGATCTGGATATCTCACTCTACTCTTTAGGCTTACAAATAAAAATATATCTCACTCTCAGAGCTACATACAAAAGACGTGTTGAGATTCAAATCCGATCATAGCTGGGAGTAGTCTGGCATCCACTTAATACAAATGTCATTCCATCCTGTACAAAGAGACAGATCAAGTATAAGAAAGTGAAGATTCATGAAGCACTTATATTTTACAGCAAGGCATAATACGAGGTGCGATCGGAAAGTTTCAAGACTGCGCCTATAAAAACCCGTACACTTATCTCAGGTATTAAATTCATCCATCACCCTCGAAGTAGTTCCCCTGGGAG